CACACACACACACACACACACACACACACACACACACACACAGAGTCGGGGGGGAAAGAGAGAGAGGAAGGGGGGGAAATCCAAGACAGACACTACACTGTCCGTAACTGTTTTTTGCTGAGTAAAATTCAGCCCAGAACATCATGAGGAGCCATGAAGCACTTTATCACTTAGTTAACAAAAAGTTATTGATTTCTGACTGTCTACTCACATGGCCTAAGGCTGTCTGTGCGTTGTATTTCATCAGACCCCAGAGTAGCAGAGCAGCCCTATTCAGGAGGCATCTATCCCCCTTCCCCCCTTTTAGCGCTGAAAAGAGAGGCTTAGAGATGCTGACTAACTTCCCTGAAGCTCGCTGGCTTAGAAATGGATTTGAGTGTAAGAGCCCTCTGGCCTCAGATCTTTTTAAACAAGAGACAATTGTGGAATCTTGATGGACAGCACCTAAGCAGCTTGTCCCTTATCATATACAAATTACTATCATGAGTAAAATCTTTTGAGTGTGGTGTACGTGTGAGTACGCATGTGTGGGCAAGCCCTCAGGGGTCAGAGGTTGACATTGGGCATCTCCCTCTTTTGCCGTCCACCTTGTTGTCTCACTGAACCTCTGGAGCTTACTGATTGCATTAGACAGGTTGGCCATTAAGTTTCCACAAGCTTCCTGGTTTTGCTCCTCCTCCCACCAAAGACTGGAGTTACAAATGTGTAATACCACACCCAGCTCTTACTTGTGAACTAAACTAAGATACTATGCTTCTGCAGCAAGTAATTCACCAGCTGAGAATTCCCTTTAGCCCCCTAAAGTCTTGCTCATTAAGACTTTCTTCTCTAGTAAGTGGCCCACACTTCAGAAAATAACCCCCACCTATGCACATGTAAGCAATCCTAATTAAATTCAGCAGGCCATTAAAAAACCTAAACAACAACAACAAAGCCATGATAAATAAAAAAGGTGTGTGGGAAAGCTGTTGGGAACAAAAAGAGTTTTGTGGGAATGGAAGAGGAATAAGAGAAGGCAATGAGTAGATGTAAAAAAATGACCAAAATACAATATATGTGTTATATGTGTGTCTTATGGTTTTATTGCTGTGAAAAGACACCATGACCACAGCAATTCTTATAAAGGGAAACATTTCACTGGAGCTGGCTTACAGTTTCATTATCATCATGGTGGGAAGCATGACAGCATCCATGATAGCATCTCCAGACATGGTGCTGGAGAAAGAGCAGAGAGTTCTACATCTTGATCCAAAGGCAGCAAAAGGAGACTGTATGCCACACTGGACATAGCTTGACCTCAAAGCCTGCTCCCACAGTGACACACTTCCTCGAATAAGGCCACACCCACTCTAACAAGACCACACCCACTCCAACAAGGCCACACCTCCTAAAAGTGTCATGGCTGTGCCTAAGCATTCATACACATGAATCTACGGGGGCCACACTTATTCCAATAATCACAATGTGTATACAAAATTGTCAAAGAATACAAAAGGAAATTAAAATAAAATAAGAAAAAAAAGTTGTATTATGAGCTAACCAAAATGGCAGAGAATGAGTAAACCAGTTGATTCCAGCTGTCAGGAAAGTGGAGGAAGATTGAAAAGAAGCTAAGTGGTTGTCTTTGGGATAAAAGCATTTATGCAAATAAGGAACAATCTGATGAGTCCTGTTTCCCTCCTAAGCGAGGTCTCTAAATATCTCACTGCTCTGGTTCACCATCTTACTTAAAACCCTTTCCAAGTCAAAGGTCTGGTGAAGCAGACAGGGCTTGGTGGAGAGGAGCACGAGCTTACAGAGATGGTCGGATCTCATTGGCTCAGCGTTTACAGCGTTGACTGTGGTCTGCGTGATCTGCTATGCACAAACCCCACTTACTTGGCCATGTGACCTCAAACCCTGCTTCATTATGCATTTGAACGTTTCCATATCCAGCAGCTGGCTTCCTCTCTTTTCATGTTCCTTTTAAAAAAATTAAAAAGAAAAAGAAAGAAAACAGTCAGCTGTGAACTCGCAGACATTGTGTTCTGTCGAGTTCAGGAGCTGAAGGGCCACAGACCTTAAATGATACAGGTTTCTCACAGGAATTCTGTTTTGTGCACTTTTTGAATAGGTTAAAATAAAAACAACTTGTTTTTTTAAATATATTAAGAAACAACAATCAAAACAATTACTCTTTGTGGCTATTTATAGAAATTTAAAAAGTTGGTACTTTGTACTGAAAAAAAAAAAAGTCAATTATCAAGAAAAGCATCAAATTGCCCAGATAAGTATTTCAAAGTTTACCTGGCCAGTTCCTACCTGAAAGAGTGTGTTTAAGCGGCGTAGCTCTTCCAGAGTCACGTGCTGCTCAATCTCACCAAGACAAAAAGAAATAAGTTAGAATCAACAATGTGAAGACTTTTTCCAAGGAGAAGATGGCAGAGCTGTTCTCTCCAGTACAATGCTTGGGAACTCTGATGTTGGGGACCCTGGACCACCATCCCAGCTAACAAAAGTTGCTTAATGAATTGCCTTTGTGAGAAACTGTCTCTTTTGGGAGAATCTGACCTTCAGCTAAGAATGAATTTCCTGTTCCTAGAGAACTGTTGCCCTGGGACATTCCTGGAAAAACCGCAGAATGCTCCGGATGACTGACCTTATCTATCGATAGTTGATAGAGTCCCCATCCTGTTCTTTGTCCCCCTTCCTCCCTTGCCTAGAGTATATCTTGTAAGCCGCTTCCACATTAAAGTAGACCTTGACAAGGCGACATTTGCTTGGTCTCGTCCCTTCTCTCGCCCGTGTTCCTTTTCAGGTGAGGTCCCCCTCGACCCCCACGAATAACCTGACCCGCGGGTCGGGTCACCCTGAAGAGTCTGGTGTGGTCAGAGGAAGTTTGAATGCACAGGGGCCCTGGGCTAGGATCACCAGATCCTGAACACTGTCTTTAAAATCATGGGAAGGGATTCTCACACTGCCTTCCTCCCCTTCCATCCAGCTTCTGACAGTTTCTTCTTTTATTTCCTCCAAGTCAGTACCTAGCCTCATCCTCTCTCACGCTCCCTTCCTCTGCCATCTCTTCCTTCTGGTTCACACCACCCGACCTGATGCCAGAATTTGGGGCTGGCGGTTGAACAGAATCAGCAGAGACTCCAAACAGTGACATGGCAACAACTTGGTGGCTCAGGTCTGTCATCAGCTTTACCGGAAGAGATGTCACCAGACACTCCATTTAGTGGGAGTTATTTTGACTAAACATTCTGACTGGAGAGAGGCGGGTTCTCTTGTCTAGTGCGCCTCAGCTCAGTAAACACATCACCGGAGTGTATGTTCTAACTCCCAGTCTTTTATCTACTATAAAAAAAAAATTTTTTTTATCAGTACAAATCGCCAAACATCAGGGAGGGCTGAGTTAAATTTCAGTGTGGCCTATGACAGACAGTGACAGAGAAACTGGCTCTTCCTCTACCAGGATCATATGAAACTGATATAGACCTACCTCCGAAGTGGTGATCCCGTTTGTCCCCATTAAACTCAGGCTGACCCCAAACTATTGGGTAAGTCATCATCTTAATAAGATACAAAAATCTTTCAAATTCTATCTTAAATGACCCAATAGATAGAGAGTTGGTCTTTTGCCTTCCTGGCTCTTTTTTCCGAATTAAAGATCAACTAACAATAGCAATGAAGTATTGCCCTGCCTCTCAGGAGAGGGATCCCCAATCTGGAGAGACACTAATTTCTATTTGTTCTACGAATGTACTTGAAATACTGCTGACATAGTAGAGTAAAAACCTTCATAAACAACAGTAACAGAGGGCAGGATACACAAGCCAGTGTGATTGTATAACTTACAAAGGATTTCACGATAATTTTTAATTATGCATGAGACGTGACCGTTCACAGCTACTCCCCAGAGCCAGACTCCCCCACCCCCCCGGCAGACATGCCTACCTCCAACCACCTCCAGTATCCATGAATGACACGCTGGCAGCTTTTTATTGTCTGGCTGAGTGTATGCTGTGCCCTTCTCCTGTTTGTGTGGTTCTTTGCCTCTTAACTATGTTTGCTACACAAACCTTCCTGCCTGCTTCTTGTGCCTCCCGTCAAAAGAAGGAACAGAGTAAAAGCGACCAGAGGTGTGACAGACTCCAAGCCTGTGGCCATGTTAACCAGATTCTTGCTGCCCTTAAGGAAACCATCTTTAGCTCTGAGATGCTTCATCGGATATTCATGGCACCAAGGAAAGTGAAAATCCAAGGATCATCAGCCAAGTTCTTTTGAAAGAGAAAGGCGGAAATAAAGATACGCTTTTGGAAAAACGCCGCAACAAAACAGGGCCGTTATTGTGCTGTCCCTTGAAAATATAAATCAGGCTTTCCTGTAACTGTGTGGTTTTAAGGCAAATTTGGAACACGAAGCAGAGAAAACACATGTCCCTTCTGGACGCTCCCGTGCTTGGCAGGGGTTGAAACTTCCCAATAGCCATCGCCAGCAAGTCACGTTCTATCACAAAAAATGTTTGAATGACTTGTTTCCCTACAAATAAAAAACAAAGGGAACCGTCTGACTATTTTATATCCAAACTATCGTGGCTCTACAGTGGCAATCGTAAATAAGTCAGTCTGCAATCGTGGATCGGGCTTTTAGAGACACCAGCCACTGCCAAGCAATGCATTTGCTCCATTCAAAGGCAATTTCACAGAAAACTCCCGCATCCTTCCCTCCTAAGCTCTATTAGAGGGAGTTCTAGGAGCCCCGGTTCTGCTTGTCCCCGTGTTTTGCAGTCCCCCCCCCCCCCGCCCCAGGCAAGCAGGTTTACGATTAGAATGCTTTTCCCAGAAGGGTTCATTTGCCTGCTGGTTGCTCATTTACATCTCAAATGAGCTCGTCTATTGTTAACAGCAGAGCAACATTCTGCTCCTCGCAGGAAGAGTCTCCTCTGTCAGGGTGGTTTACAGATAATTTCTCTTCCACGACAGGGGAATTGACTAATTAATCGAATAAAGTATCCCTTTGAAAATCTATTTCTTCCTACTGGGCCTTCCTGCTCCATCCCTGCCTCTGTCTCAGGATAACTTACCTTTTGAAAATCAAGTATTCGAGGAAGGGAGGAAGGGAAGGGGAATGGGTGGGAGGATGGGAGGATGGGTGGGAGGATGGGTGGGAGGATGGGAGGATGGGTGGGAGGATGGGTGGGAGGATGGGAGGATGGGTGGGAGGATGGGAGGATGGGTGGGAGGATGGGTGGGAGGATGGGTGGGAGGATGGGTGGGAGGATGGGTGGATGAATAAATGGAGATGGACGGATGCATGGATGGATGGAAGAAGAAAGGCAGGCATGTAGACTAGCCTATGTCATGAATGGCTGTCTCTACAGTATGAAAAAAATAGATATGAGCTAGCAGACAGAAAGAGAGGGAGAGAAAGAGAGAGAGACAGAGACAGAGACAGAGACAGAGACACAGAAAGACAGACAGAGACAGAGAGAAATGAGGAAGCAAGTCCTAAAGGGGATGAGCTCCATGGAATTATGATTATTCCTATAAACTGAAGAGTTTCCCAAAGGCCAAGGTGTTAGAGTCTTAGTCGCAAGCCTGTGGTACTCTTGGGAGTGGGTGGGGCAAGCCTGTGGTACTCTTGGGAGTGGGTGGGGCAAGCCTGTGGTGCTCTTGGGAGTGGGTGGGGCAAACCTGTGGTGCTCTTGGGAGTGGGTGGGGCAAGCCTGTGGTGCTCTTGGGAGTGGGTGGGGCAAGCCTGTGGTACTCTTGGGAGTGGGTGGGGCAAGCCTGTGGTGCTCTTGGGAGTGGGTGGGGCAAACCTGTGGTGCTCTTGGGAGTGGGTGGGGCAAGCCTGTGGTGCTCTTG